CCCCAAAACCCCAAAACCCCAAAACCCCACTTGTAAAAATCTTTAATTTTCTTTCTAATCGTTTATAATTAATTATTAAATCATTCGACTTATGATAAATATAGTTTAATTAGCTATTTGTATCGTCATTTACAACTACTGAATTGCTTTTAGCATCAATAGTACAAGCCTTCTTTCGATTAGGCTCTTTGTGTAGATATTTAGTCTGTTTCAATTGAATTTTTAGAACTGAAGTTTTCACTGCCTCTTGAATGAGACGGCCCGTCACTCGCAGATCTCTGTTAACTCTCCATTTTATAAGCTTTGCCAAGTTGTGAAAGTCCAGAGAATTTCAAGTAATTCTTATTTTGTAATTGCTTCTCAACCAGTGGAGCCTGTTTCTCATCCTTCATTATTTTCATTACATTTCCAAGCTAGTTCTGAGATCTTTTCGACTGCAAGTTCTCGTGAGATCCCTAAGATATTAGATTTAGATTTTGAATAGCCTATCTGTTAAGTCTTTCTTATTCCATTTCAAATATCTTCTAATTATCAGACCTTTTTCTTCCATGAATCAAATGGATAGTATCAGTTGTATCTGCTTGCTTATAACTAGATGAACTTGATTAATTCATTGATGAAACGTTTTTCTTATAGAAGTTTATTTAGCCATTGCCAGCATCTTCTGAATCCTAAGAGCCTTTAGAATTGAAACGAGTTCTTTAGACATTGATTGGTGCTTAGTGATTCAATACTCTGTCTACAAATGAACCTTGTGATGCTAATTATGCTTATGAGCTTTAACTATTATGACAAGATTCTTCCTCATCTACTTAGTCATGATAGATTTAAATGTTTTTCTTGAGTCTTATATTTAATTCCTGGTTATGTTTTGTTTCCTCAATTTCATCATAAGACTATGACTTATCAAGTTTTTTGTTGCTCTACTTTAGACTTATTTTACTTTTCTTCGCTCCAACGCTGATGTTATTCTTGTTCTTGTGATTACGTTTATTCAACGGTGGCTTGGTATTCTTGTTATCTGCTCCGATTATAACCAGAGTATCAACTGGTAAATTTTCAGATTACTCTCTATTCAAGAACCCTCCATCATTATATGAAGTCTTCCTATTTCTGTTTTAGGCTCTAAATAATCTTTAATTGATATCATTGATACTTGGTGTAACGGCTCTTTTTTAAATATCTTCTGAGTAGTCATGAATCATCAAATTTTAAGTATTATCTGAGTTTAGATTTGAGATATTATTTGAATTATGCTGAGTGTTAGATGGCTATAAGCGGGTTTCAAGTCCTCTAGTTTAGAAGGATTATTAAGTGGCATCAAGCGAAAGCATTTCCCTAGTTGAGTAATCTGGCATACTACCCATTCTGTTGGAATCCTACTATGTAGGATAATCAAGGTAGCTCTAATCTCCATAGGTGTTACTATTACCTTAGAAATCAGATTTGTTGAAGGTTTTTATTAGTATTTCATCATTTCCAGTCCCTAATTAATCTTCATTTTACTATTCTTCATATTATTAGCCATTTAGTCTATAAGAGTTAATCTGATTTTTTTACTCCTCTTTGATATTTTATAGAATTCTGAGATTCTCCTCGATAGTATCTTTATCTTTGCTTATATACTCATGACTTAGCCTACTCTGCACATTTATGGTTTCACTTTAATACTCATTTTTATCAATATATATCCTCCTTTAATCTTCAGCCGCTCTCTCCTCTAAACTATCAACTTATATTATAGTGTCTAAATTAAACAAAGTAGAAGGAACTCTGACTGCTTGACTATTTTCTTTATTTTCATTACTTGATTTTTTATTAGTCTATTTCTTCTTGGTAACTCTCTTCTTTTTCCTGTTTATTTTTATCTCTGCTGCAGATTCATCTTCAACTTCCTTTGAGATGTCATTAAGTTGATTAATCAAATTGATTTCTCTAAACAGTCTTGACTAATTTTATTCAATAACAGGTAGTATGTCCTATTCTGGAATTCTTATCCTTCTTTATCTTTAAGCCTGATATTCGCTGTCATCATTATGTTAATTATATTAATCGAGTGATTTATTATGAGTGAAATCAATAATTGGCTATATAATTCTAGCTGATTATTCATCTTCAAATCCCTTGAGGGATTAATCGTCAGTAATTTGTGGTCTTTAAAGCTCTTGATATTCAACAGGATGGTAATTTAGTTCATAATTATTTTAAACCGCCACATCTAAGTCTTATTAATCAAGATGTTATGATTTGCTATATTTATTGTCATCAAATTTAGTTTGATAATAATCTACCTCTATTTTAGAATTGCTGTACTTCAGATTTTCAAGCCTTTCGTTGTCTTAAATTAATGAGTGAGAACTTTCATCATGATAGCATAGGTTATGATGGTTTAAATTCTTTTACTCATAATTAGCATCTTCCTCTGAGGTAATATTAAGCTTTAGGTGTAGGTTCTATTAATTTTGATTTTCTAAATCGATTTCAAAAAAGTCAATGGGTAATTTTCTTTGCTAGTTAATCTATGGAAGATTAATAGTTTATGTTTATTCATAAGCCTCCTTGACCTCTTTAATACTTGAAAGCCTTTGCTTATCATTTATGGTGATTAATTCTAGGTCTCTCGACTTTTCCTTTATAAAATGATCTGTCTGCAACTAGGATATATCTATCTTTCTAAAGAATTTACGAGAATCATTTAGAAGCTTTACCTCCTCCTTTGATTCTTCTTAAACTTCTTCAATAGGATTGAATACTTTGTCCTTTATTTTCTCAATAAGTTCAAAATTCAATCCATGTTTAATATTCCTCAGTATTTTGAAAGTTCCTTTAGACCCATAAGTCTGGTCACTGAAACTCAGCAGTGCCAACTCGAATAGCTTTTTCTATTGATAGAATTCCAGCTTGATTTTAGGTTTCTGCAAAGTGTCAGAAAATTAAGAAGCGGGCTTTTCCTCATTTTCTTAATCATATATTATCTTTTAAATATTGTACATGAATAGTTAGTTAATTTTGGCAGTTGAATCATTTTAATTGCACTCAGTATCATCAATGAATGTCTTTGTGTAATCCATTGATGGGTAATTTGCCATGAATGTATCGGCTTTGATTTCAGTATTAACTACCTAATTAAACAAAAGCATGTTAGAATTTTAGCTGAGAAGGTTGGGGTTTGGGGTCAGATCAGAAACGTATTAATTATTACTTGAATTATTAACATTATTAATGTGGTTATCTTTTAACATATTTTTAACGATTTAACACTTCTTCTAATCTTTTTTATTTTACCTATATTACCCAACCAAATTAACAAAAGTCTTGCCCATTGCATAAGCAAATAGAGCAATATTCCTTACTAATAAGATATCAAGAACTTAACTTCCCATGAATGAGTATAGAAGTATCATCCTGATCTCGTATTTCATATTCATCATTATATAAATACACATTGAAAACGAAAAGCTTATAGCTAGAATAACTCCAAATATTTTGTTTAGAGATGACTGTGATTGAAGACTTAACTGCTAAATCTCATACTTTTTTATTTGTTCGATTTCTTCTTAGTCTTTTTCACTTTAGGCAAGCATGCATTTCTCGAATACCTATGCAACTTATTTAATGAGATTTGCTTCGTATCTTTTATTCATATAATGAGAAAGTATTAACCCACTTAGAGTACTGATGCAAGTAAATATCACAACCAGGAATTAAAGTAAACTATATTTCCCATCATCTTTTACGTTAATATAGTTTATTACGGCTACTGTAAAGCATATCAAAACCCAAACGAATAAGAAGTTGAGCTAGTAATTAAGAGATTTAATTGAGCCTTTAGAGTCAAATATTTTTATATCTCTTTTTTCAACTTTGTATGTCTCACTGCGACAGCATTCGCAAGTCAAAGTTTGATAAAAGCTTTTGAAGAATCCATAAACTAATTAGTTATGCTGTTTAAGCTGTACTTTGGACTGGAATGTGATAGACGACTAGAGCTCATCAAAGTTTAGAATTTATTTCTCCAATGAGCTGTACTACTTTTGCACATAATTATTGCACTTGCTCTTTCTTTAATTTAAAGGCTGTTTAGGTTTTTAAATTTGGAAGTTTGATATATATTTATGACTTAGATCTTTGAATATAGCTTCAATCGTTGTTTAAATATGTATTACTTATCTAAATGCTCGTGATGAAAATATCAAAGTGAAGAATAGGAGAGCAACTGTCAGTAAAATTGGTAAGAATATTTGTAGTTCGTGAGGCTCCTTTTTATTGTTTACTGAGTTTTCCATTATTTTAAAATAATCTTAGTTATTTTGAATTCAACTTAATTATTAACGATCATAAATTTTTCACTTACAAAAAAAGCAAATGCCTCATAAAAAGGGATTGCGGGGTTTTGGGGTTTTGGGGTTTTGGGG